TAATTCATGAAGACAAGGGAGATGAGGGGATGTGGTTTGTTTTCAATAAAAGCCTGGATTCTCTTTGAGTCTACTTGGAGTCAAAAATTGCAAAGATAATCTCCAACGTGGAAATTATGGGATAGAAATTGTGCTTGATTACTTGAAGAGAGCTTGTGAACACTTCTCTTGGAATGCTGATGAGCTCCTTGTCCTCAAAATTGAGCACATTTACAAATGCTTTGAAGGTGAGTTTTTTTTTTAAAATGCTTTATCAATTCCAGAAGGATAGAAGAGCCAATCTAATGCAATTCATGGCTGTGGAGCAGAAGCCGGTGGTGTGATCACAAAAGAGCCCCCTAAGAAACCATCTCCAAAAAACTCCAAGGAAACTTTGGCCACATCAAACAAAACTTCTAATACCTCAGCAACTCCTAAATATCCAAAGTCTACCACTGGGGATTCAAAAAAACGAAAGAGTGGTTCCCAACAAGAGGTCCATGACCTTGAATTTGAGCTCAATGTAATACAGTGACAAAAAGAGTTAAAGGCAAATCAGCAAGTAACTGACCAGAAGTTTGGTATCAATCAAACATCTCTCAGTTGCTGGTTGAAGGAAGAACAAACAATAGAATAATGGGTTGCTTACAATGGCGGTGGAGTCAAAAAACAGAGGACAGCTGCTTATCCAAAGCTGGAGCAAGCACTTTTCAATTGGTTTCTTGAAGCTCAGGCATGGCACATGCCAACAAATGACAATACAATTTGATCGAAAGCACAAAAATTGCCAATTTACTAGATATTAACCTCACTTTCAAACTGCTGGAATTATATATTCAAGAACTGCTTTCACATCAAAAAAGTTCAGCTGCATGGCAAAGCTGGATTGGTGGATCAAAACTCAGTTGAAGAAGGATGAAATGAAATTTTAGCAATCACCAGCGATTACAAGCTTTGCAACATTCACAATGCGGATGAGACAGGATTATTCTACAGGATGCCTCCAAACAAATCACTAGCCACGGAAACCTGCTCTGGCCTTAAGGGATCAAAGTTCCAATTGAACTACCATCTGTGTTGCAATGCAGATGGTTCTGATAAGCTTGAACTGCTCATAATTGAGCAGTTGGATTTTCTGAAGACATGGAGAAATGAGAAGTGTAAGTTTCTTGAACTATGGTAGAACCTAGAATTTTAACCTGGCATTTTTCCATTTAAATGATCTGGTTGCATGCAGATCATTTGATTACTTCTTGGATATATCAGAAGAGTTGTTAGAACTTGATGGTTTAGATGGTCCAACATCATCAGGGAGATTGGAAACTTATTTCAGGTAAGTTTGCCTTTGAATCTTTGGAAGTTGGGAGAGGAAAAAAAGTAAAATTAAGTCTCTCTGTCTTTCTATTTTGGTTGATTATATTCATGGTATGAACGAATCCAGGAGATCCTTCATTGAGAAATATAAACTTGGAAAATGGGGTAATTTCCCAACTCTGCTTGAACTTTCACTAACAACAAAGCTTGTGTCAGAAAGGGTCAAGCGGGTAAATATTTAAATGAATATCAGTCCAATGAGCTTGGCTCTCTGCACAAATAGCCAACTTACTTGGATGGATATTGTAAACCAATTTATCTGTAGTCATAAGCCTCCAAATATTTGTGCCCACAAAGACAATGAGATTTGCATTTTCATCTGAACCTGGAATCATTTTTTTATAGAAAAAATGTGCTACAAACCCTGCCTGGTTCCAAAGGTGAAACCAATACTACTTTGTATCTGTTTTTCTCCAAATATATTGTATTTGTATTGTATAAAAAAACCAAAACTAGGGGATATCAAATACAACCAAATCCACCATTATTTAATTGACTGGTTTGAAAAGATCCACACTTTTTCAAGCATGTTGGTTATCCATTTAACCCCTTTTGGGGCCCTTTGATGCAATTTTTTTTTGGGAAAAGTGACTGGTTTCTAATGGTGGATTTGCTATATTTGATACCCCCACTATATGCATTCAGGATGCAAACGGGTCAGTTTTGGGCCCAAAGACAGTTCCTGAACCCGACCCGACACCTATGTCAGGTTGGATCAGGTCGGGTCAAACTTGAATATATGCTGCCCAGACCCAAACCCGTCTTGGGACTTTTTGGTTTTGGGTCGGCAGCTTGCATGTCAGGTTTGGGCTGACCTGAGTGTTTGAGCCTTTGTAGAGCAACTATAATAAAAACTTACCTGCCCGAACCCAACCTGCTAAGCTTCTGGGTTGGGTTTGGGTCATGTGATTTTCTCACAAATTCTGTCCAAACCCAATGGCTTTGGGTTGCCCCAACCCGTTTACACCCTGAATATACATTGTATTTGCATTGTATAAAAAACCGCAATACTATGGAAATGTATCAAACTGTTTGCATCTAGTCACAAATAAAGCCCGATACAAAACAGTACAATAGTGTATCTATTCTTTGTGTATTTTCCAAATGGTTGTTGAATATAGTCAAAATTGGCCAAAAATGTGCCGTAGTTTTTTCGATAAAATACAATTGTACCATATCTGATTTGCAAGACAATACATCATACCAATTTTTTTGAGTATTAGAAAAAAAGATACAATAAAAAGATCATGAATCATATTAGGGGGTATCAAATATAACCAAATCCACCTTTATTTAATTGACTGGTTTGAAAAAATTCACCCTTTTTTAAACCTGTTGGTTTTTCATTAGGGGGTATCAAATATAACCAAATCCACCATTAATTAACACTACAAGCAATACCCATTTTGCCCCAAAAATAAATGGCAATTTGGGTGGGGGAAAATGGATCAATTTTCTGGAAATTTTTTCCAAAATGCCTCAGGAGTAGAAATTAGGCTAAACTGAGCTATTTTAGCCCAGAGATAGAAAATCCTCAAACATTCCAAAATGAATTTTTAGCTGATTTGAGACATTTTTATTTTTTGGCTAAAATAGCTCATTTTAGCCTAATTTTTTACTCCTGAGGCATCTTGTAAAAAAAGTGCCAGAAAATTGATCTATTTTCCACCATCCAAATTGCCATTTTTCCTTGGGGCAAAATTGGTATTGTTTGTAGTGTAATTGACTGGTTTGAAAAATTCACCCTTTTTTAAACATGTTGGTTATCCATTTAACCCCTTTTGGGGCCCATTTATGCACAAAAAAGTTTTTGGAAAAGTGACTGGTTTCTGATGGTGGATTTCCTATATTTGATACCCCCCTATTCCAATTTTGGAGCCCATTGATGCAAAAAAAAGTTTTGGGAAAAGTAACTGGTTTCTAATGGTGGATTTCCTATATTTGATACCCCCTATTGTACCTGTTTCATTGTTGAATCTAGTCCCCATATTTTCATCACACATGATTCATAAACATAGGTGTGTGTACTACCACTGACCTTGATCCATAATTGATGTTTAATTTGGATGACAAGTCAGAACCAGACATTGCTATAATCTCTGCCCTAAGAAATGCATATCTCAGACCAAGATGGAATACATGTGCACTTAGTATCAGCAAATCTGTCCCCAGTGCCCACAGAGCATGTCAGGTTGACAGGTGGGTATGCAGATGGGCAGAGAAGAGGTCTCACCTGAGCCTCCCAGCTATTGACTGTCCACACAAATGGTTGGGAGGTCAACAGGATGTCAATGTCCACCCAGTTGGCCTTGAATCAGATATGATGTCATCAGCGGTGGGCCGCTATGTTTTTGGCCCAAAAAGCATAGCGTAGCAGCACTTTTTTTTGCGCCAAAAATTTGTAGTGTTAGCATTTTTAGTGGATTTTTGCTACACTACGCTGCACTACAGGGCCATAAAACCGCTAACCAGCGTGTTAGCGTAGCGTAGTGGGCCCTTTTTTGGGGCCTATGCACGTAGTGTTAGTGCAGATGTGGCCGAATTCTGCTACACTATGCTAAAATTTAGCGGTATTCCGCTACACTAACACTATGGTTAGTGTAACTGGCCCATTGTTGATGTCATGGCTGACTGGGTGGCCTGTTTCCTCTGCCAGAGACCATCTGGGATCTTAATTTGGGGCTGTCTCCTCTGTGGCCCTACCAGTACCAGAAAGGTTGGCAGGCCACAGCCAGCAATGGGCTGCTATATTACCCTGCACCAAAGCTGCACTACAGCACTTACAGTGGCAAAAACGCGCCAAAGAAACACTAAATTGTGCTGTAGCACAGTGTGGTGGGCCATTTTGTGTGGCCTGCCCATCTAGCAGTATTCTGACTTTGATCAGGCTTTTATGTGATTGATTCTAAAAAAACATAGCTTGGATCAATGGATAGTATGTATAATTTCTCAAGTCAAAATTCAACAAGGATATCATTCCAAAAGTTATATATCATCAGTTTATAATTGACAGAATCCATTCATGTGTCTTGATCAGATTGAGAAGTGGCTCTGCTTGCCCAGTCAGCCAAGAGCGACCAGAACGCGACTCGAACCCATACGCTGTCCACCACCCTATATAAAACCCCAATCGGAGGCTGAAATCCGCCCTCTTCGGAGGTGCATACGTTAAAATTGGAACGATACAGAGAAGATTAGCATGGCCCCTGCACAAGGATGACACATGTAGTCAGAATGGATTCACCTACGGGTGAAGATTTTTTTTTTCTGTTTGGGTCTACGTATTCCTCCCTCGATCGGCACTACACAATTGCCACTCGTGGGGGCACAATAGCCGACCGGAATGTCCTCTGGAAACTCGTGAATGAACCCAATCATGTGTCTATCTATCAAGCCCTAAGACGCGATCAAGTAGTACAGCCAGCCTCCGGTTGTATTCTTTTGATCCGGAGACACATGGGTGAGATGACCTGATAGTTTGACGAGGGAGTTGCTCATGCCTGAGGGTTTTTGTTTGGGCATCCAGCGTTGCGCAAGTGAGCCTTCCGGCGATACGACAAGAGAAGATGCATACAAGACACTCTGATCAGTAGTAATGGTTGTCGGCTACTCAGCCGAGACGAAGCGTCATTCATGATCTGCTTACGACGGGCTTTCTGACGATGCCACAGCTTGCGAGCCTCAAATTTTGATGACAGTGAGAATGGTTTTCTCCAGGGAGAATAAACTAGAAATTTCTAACAAAAAAAAAGACATGGAAAGAGAAAAAAAAGAAAAGAGAGAAAAAACCCGGTCGAGGTAGCTAATCCGCACAAGTTGACAACTCAAGCCACGCAACAAAAAAAAAGGATGAAAACAGAGAGCACTACAGAAATGCTTTATTTTTGGGGTGAGAGAAATGAGAAAGAAGAGGCAAGCTGATGAGATTCGAATCTACAATCATCGTGTCAGCGTCGTGTCTCGTCTCAGGAGCGGGCTCGTTCTCGAATCGAAGACGACTTGGTCAGCCCCATCGCGCCTTCGACAGGCTCAGGTAGCTCGACCTTGACGGCCTTGACCTTGTTGACCGAGTTCTTCTCAACAAATGCAATCATCGCATCTAGCTCTCTTTCGTCATCATAATCGATCCATTCCTTCGAGCCGGCGGGCTTGAACTTCAAAGTGGGGTATCCCTGGACCGAAATGCCAGTGGTGGATGGAATGTCGTTCTCAGTGGCATCGAAGCTATGGGGGTGAGTTGAAAAGGGGAAAATGTAAATATACAATCATTGGATAGCAATCATGAAATGGAGCGCGTGGACGTACTTTGCAATCAGAACCTTGTCGCTGGAACCAGTGAAGCTGCGGGCCAAGTTGTCCCAAATAGGTTTGAGACGTTTGCAGTGACCACACCATGGTGCGTCTTTGGGAAGAATATGTATAAAAGCTAGAATTAGTGTTTTTTTATGGCAGAGTTTGAGTACTTAAAGTCACATACAGAATTCGAGGAACACATCCTTCTGGTTGTTGTTAGCATAGACCACGTCTTCGAAGGCCTTGGCAACGAGGACGTAGGTACCATCACCCTGTTTGGGAATGGGTTGACTCTTGACGCTCTTCTCGAGTTTACCGGCGCGGTACGACTTGACAAATTCGGCAACATGGTCATGGTTGACCTCCTTCTTGGCCTCCAAGGGGTACTTGTCCTGGTTTGAGAGATCTTGAATGACAAATTCGGGCCAGTCGGTACCGGGAAGGTTCAAAGATTTGGCGTAATCTCCAAATTTGGTCGCATCGATCCATACAAAGTTGAGGTGACCCTTGTTGTCCTTGGCAACAGATTCGAGAGATTTGATCAGAGATTCTCGCTTGGGGTTGTTGGCCTCGATGAAAGTGTAAGCGAGAGGAAGACCGATTTCAGAGTAGAGAGCGAAGTTGGACGGAGTGAGCTCATCAAACAGGGGCACCGAGTTGGTGTTGACAAATTTGGCAATGTTCTCCTCGGTCAATTTCTCGCCAGTGAAATCGTTGCGACCTTCGTCGAACTTCTTCCAAAGGACGAGACTACCCTGGGGCAGAGAAGAGACATCTTTGATCGATGAGTGATCGTAGCACACACCAAAGACGTAATCATCACGTTTGGATTCGGCGAAGCGGGTAAATGCAGCCAAGCCATCTTTGTCAGAGTGATCCAGGTAAGCGATGACGACCACGTTACCAGATTGGGTAAACTCGGTGTGGTTGTGAGATGTAATAAGGGTAACGACAGGGTGTGCGCGTCTGGAGAATGGAAAGGATAAGATGAACAAAAAAGGTCAGAATTTCAAGCTCATAAGACAAGTGATTGGAGTGGTAACTTACTTTTCCATGTATGAGACGATGCCTTCAGCCTTTCGAGGACCTTTGTATTCCGATGCCACACCATTTGAGAAGATTTTGAGAGTTCTGTAGAGAGCAGCAGTTGGGTCAGATTTATGAAAACGAATCAACCAAGTCAGGATGATGGATGCTGGGGCCACTTACGGATAACCCTGGATTTCGTGCTTGGCACATAGTTCACTCTGCTCAGTACAGTCGGCTTTGGCCACTGGGATACCTTCCTTCTTCAATAGTGTCGCTGCACGTTTGTACTGTAATACGGAGAAAAGATGTCAGTTACAGTTTCACCAGTTTTGTGAGGATCGATCGTGTCAAGAAGAAGATGAGTGAAACAAGATCAACGAACCTCGGGCATGAGCGCTTTACAGTGACCGCACCTGTAGAGTGATTAACATTTCAGAGAAGGGATCAGGACTGCAGAAGTTCATAATTCAAAAGAGAACGGCCTGCGGAATTTGGATGCATACCATGGTGCCACTATTGATAGTCAAAGAAAGAGGTTTGGAATGTGAGCAATCAGGTCTTCCGAGAATGAGTCTCATACATAGGAGATATTTTTGAGGCTCGATCATGATCGATCTGATCGGAGAGGGGGGAAGCCAAAAGAAACAAGACCAAAGGACGTACTGAATTCGACGAGGATCAAGGGCGCAGGGGTGACGACAGTGGCAAAGTTTTCAGAGGTCAATTCGATGACATCATCTGGGGCCTCGTTGGGGTCGACTCCTGCGTCGGCATGGATAGACGAAGCTAGGGCGAGGAGTGCTGATAGGATCCTAAACGACCTCATGATGGTGATTTTGATTTGATACAATTGCTAAGGCGTAGTTCTTGGCAGGAGGGGTGGAGAAGCCCAGTAGGATAGACTAGATGCTATCCAGGTGGGATGTGGGGAGGATAAAGCGAGCAGTTGAAGTGGATGGTGGGTCAGGGGAAGGGAAGGAGGGAGGGGGAGACTGCTGCTGCTGCTGGGCTTTATAAGCTGCTGGGCTGGGAATGGGATACTACGTGGCAGTTTTAAAATTAATCAGCCATGCTGTAGTGAGGGTCTGGTCTGCGGGGCGTAGAAAAGTCGTCGGTGGGTCATTGGGCGCTGTGCAATATAAAAATACAGCCATACCACCTTCAGTCTTTTAGTATGTAGTGCAGCCTACAGCCCTGTGCAGCCATCCTTCTGCCCTTCCTCGGCCTCCTCACCACCGGAGGCACAACAAATCATCACTTGTATCAGGCAGAACAAGCACAGCCGCAGCCAGCCCGACCAAAGTCAAGGCTTGGCCGACACAAGCTCCCTGATCGCAAATATCCTTGGCAGAATCAAGTGGTATGACACGTGGCCATTCGACGGAGCGAGACTCATGATCTTGGTTTATTTTGAGAACCATTCATCAAGCGC